AGCAGGAAGAATTCAGACCTTTTATTTAGTGAAAAGAGACAAGTTGTCCTATAATACTTATTTGGAAGATGCCAAAGTTCTGAAATTATCTTCTTGGAAAAGGAAAATTTGGCTTTTAATGACAACAGAACAGGCATTGCCCAATCAGACTCACCTAAACTGTTACAGGAAAATTTACAAGAACACTGATACAACTCACAGAGAAAGTCTATTAACAGAGGTACTTTTCAGATACTCGTTTCTGATGTCTAATCTAGCCAGGAAACACTTTTCATCACATATCCCTCCAACCCTACAAATGCTAGCATAATTTTCAGAAAGACTAAGTAATATCCAGATTATTATCTGAGACATGAATTTTAGGGAAAAAGGGGAAGGAAGATGTGTAGAAGATAAACTAAGTTTCAAATCCTGCCATCATTTTCTTCATGAATGACTTGCCTGTGGTATACACTATCAAATGTACACAGTACAAATTCAAAATTCATTCAACTTCTGCATTAATATTTGGCAACAACTGCTGTATTTAGGGTAAGATCTCTTGCCAGTTCAGGTCAACATTTACTTCTTTCCAGAAATGAAACAAAGAAGTTATATACACACTTTGTTAAAGTGGCTACTACTCCACTCCCCAGCCCAAGTACTTAAAAATGTGTCCAAGTTACCTGGTACTTTTTTCATTTTAAACCTTTTTTAAGTCACAGAATATCAAGTATGAAATACCTCATTGCCTACTGGTACAGAATCATCAAATTCAAGTAAAGGCTTGCCAGCTGTGTTACACTCATTCATGGCTGGAGTTGAGGTTGCTGGTGAAGTCTGCCTGTTTGCTGGGCAGTTACCCAGGCCAGCTGACAACTGAAAGAGAAAGCAAAATGGCAAAATAGAGTAGAGTAGCTTTCTAAAACTTACCTGCTGTTAAAACCCAACACAGTTCTGGCTTTATGAGATAGGATTAGTATTCAGTGAAAAGGGATTTTTCCAATCAAGGCTAAATACTTATCTCAGAACTTAGCCAGGAATCAACAAAACTTACTTTTATATAATACAGTATTACAATGTATTGTGTTTGTGTGGCAAGGCTTTGGTAGCAGGGGCTACAGGGAGGGCTTCTGCAAGAAGCTGCCAGAAGCTTCCCCTATGTCTGATAGGGCCAATGCCAGCCATCTCCAAGATGGACCCACCACTGGCCAAGGCCGAGCCCATCAGCAACAGTGGTATTGCCTCTCTGATAACATATTCAAGAATGGGGAAAAACACATATGCAATTGCAGCCAGAGAGAGAGAAGTGAGAATATGTGAGAAACAACCCTGCAGACACCAAGGTCACTGAAGAAGCAGGGGGAGGAGGTGCTCCAGGCACCGGAGCAGAGATTCCCCTGCAGCCTGTGCTTAAGACCATGGTGAGGCAGGCTGTGCCCCTGCAGCCCATGGAGGTTAATGGTGGAGCAGATCTCCACCTGCAGCCTGGGGAGGACCCCAAGCCCTGTGGGAAGCCCACGCTGGAGCAGGCTCCTGGCAGGACCTGTGGAGAGAGGAGCCCATGCTGGAGCAGGTTTGCTGGCAGGACATGTGATCCGGTGGGGGACCTATGCTTG